CTATTAAGATTTAGATTCATATACATGAGACTACAAACCGCTTACCGTTTGGCCCTGTTGTTCTTCGCAACGTCGTCATCTTCCCTACAATCGCCACTAGCTGGTGCTACAGTACCAATTGAACGATGATTGGATATAGCACCCATATAGGCACTACTAGTCGACCTGAAACTACCCTTTATATACTTGCTAGAAGCCTGTGCTCGCAAAATTAATGGTGAGCGATGAACATGGTTGATACAATTTCCAAACCGTAAGCCACACTGCATGATGGATTTTTCCTCCAAATGTGAGTACAGAGAGGGTAACTTCACGCAAATATGTATACAGTGTACGTTGTTCAATTCTGGCACAGCGAGACAGAACTGCGCATTTATATATTTTTAAATATTTAGTTACCTATGAACTTGTGGAGCCCCGGCCCCCGAGCCGTACCACATTCTCAGCCGCGATGTACACTTGGTATGCATAAATATTTACATCAATACATCTTGACGGAAATTTAGATTGACGATTTTTCATGAGGTACACTTTGCCGCCAAATTTTAAACATCGAATCATTATAGCTTTCCATTGAAACGCTACACATAGAATGCTATGTATAAATACACGAATGGAAATACATATTCACTTTCTCGAACAAAACAAAATATGCTGTATGTATATTTAGAAGGCTATGCTGTATTGATTTATCATATTTAACTTATTAAAACACACATGTGAGGTACAAGGTTTTGTATATTTATATTATATTAATAGAGCTTATTGAAATCCCGCTGTTGTGATTCAGCAAGACAGCAATGAATAAATGTTGCAATCGCATGAACCTCTAGAAGTAGAAATAAAAATATAGTCATCAAAATATGGCTGAACGGACTAGCGTCCGAAGGATACAATAGAAACTCAAACCTAATCGTCCCTACCCATGGCCCTCTGGACCAGAGTCTCCGCAGAGAACATTGTATGTTCTGGTATGTCCATGCCCTACCGTTGGTGCTTTTTTGTTCTAGATCGCTTCCACCACATTCTAATAAGTCGCTGTGAACCAACCAATCGCTTTACCGGCCCCTCTATTTCTACTTGATTTACATCAGGCAGCCGAGGTTGGACCTCATACAACACATAGTAATTAGCGCGTATGGTGTGTTTCGTAAGCCCATAAAACACCCAAAGCGCATAAAGACCACGAGCTAGTTAACTCTTCTGTTCGTTAAAAGATAAGTCAGAAGTACAACTTGAGCTGAGCCTCGAACTTGTCTGCTGCGACTGGCTGGGCTGCGCCCGCCCATTCTGTTTGCATTGAGTAGGATGAGTAAAAATATTTACAAAGTATTGTAGGAAGCAAGATTGTAGTAGCTTATGACTACTACGAGTACCAACGTGCTTAGCATTGTAGAAGCAATCATAAAGCTTTGACGCAGAAGACCATGTGAGCCTCGATGTATAAATGTCAAGTAATATATTGACATATTGCCGCCTAAGGGGTGATTTGGTGTTTCATAGTACTTCTAGTATACATAGTACTCCGGGTAATACTTTTCATAAATCGCGGGTACGACTGCTGCGGCCAGCTATAAAGAATTCACCGTCTCCACAGCAGTCCACATCATGAGAAATTAAAGCTCGACAATCTATAGATACTTGTCTACTGATTGTATCCCAAGGTGAGTCTCAAAGCGCGAAACTTAAAAGCATTTATTGATGTGTAAACTATAACTAATATTTATTTTGCGGCCTCAGCTGCTGCGGCGAGTCTTATATCGTTCACGACCTTCACGGCGGCAAGGGGTATGCGCGTGCCAGGACCGAAGATACTACTGCAACCAGCAGCATAAAGGAAATCATAGTCTGATGGGGGAATCACACCTCCGGCAAGCTGTAAATGTATATATGGGTGTCAGAATATCAGTCAGTGCGCGTCACGGTCTATTATTTACTGTTCTGTGAAATATTGCGTCTGGTGACCCAGATATTGAGTGCCTGCTGCCATTCTTAATTACAGTAAAAAAAATCACGTGCCCTAAGATATACAAACTATCAGTGCTGCAGAATTATAAAATTATATAACTATATATATATATATATATATACATATATATATAAATATATATAATTTTGTGCGTAGCCACAAATACACAGTCAACATGCCATGCAAAGTTAAATCACTTACAATGACAATATCCGGCCGTCCCAAATCCGTCAGCGCTGTCTTGAGCGTCGGTATAAGTGTCTTATGCCCTGCTGCCAGTGAGCTCACACCCACGACATGCACATCGTTATCTATTGCCTGGCGTGCCACTTCCTCGGGTGTGCAGAATAGCGGGCTGATATCAACATCAAATCCTATGTCAGCAAACGATGTGGCGATAACTTTTGCGCCTCTATCGTGTCCATCTTGGCCCATTTTGGCCATGAGAATTCGGGGAGGTCTACCCTCTTCCTTGGCGAATTCCTATATGCACACACAGAGGTGAGAACCGCTCGCGTTTATGGGTTAATATTGAAAATATGGACAGACTATACGAGATAGACAAACTCTTTTGTGAACAAATAGAGACGAGAACAGCGTATGGGCAAAATATATATATCTACTCTAAACTACAGGGAACTGGCGAGCGCCAACATATGCAACAAACAGAGACGAATCCCACATACGTCGGCAAGATAAGTAATTAGGAAAATGGTGAAGTCCTTTTGTCCGAAAAGAGAGACGAAATCCACACATGTGCAGCAGACATATAATGTTACTTAAATAAACAGACATAATGATGATTCGACTATACACATCCTTCTAGGCGTAATCCGAACATATACAAATATATACATATGCACGCAAGTGTATTCATGTATATTTATATGCACATATTGTTAAATTACCTTCACAATATCCAAAGCCTTTCCCATATCATCGTCGCCAGGGATTTCGTTGATGTACGCGCCGCTGACCATGCCACTGTGAGCCACATGGCGGCCAAAGACTACCTCGAGCGAATCAGATATTTCACCCACTGTGCAACGCGCTCGTGCAGCCTGTTGTGTGAAGATCGATATAAAAGTACAAAAACTGAGTACAGTGTGTGGACATTCAACTTGTCTGGCGTGGCGTAAGTTTTTAATAAGCGCAATTATACCGGGTGAACGTATACGTTACCATGTTCTTATGAGAGTCTAAATGCATACGAAACAGAAATGCAGTGACAAGCGCATCTACAGTTGAGAAGTAATTAGAGTGTGCGGATGTCGAATTTGCAACCGAGAATGAATTTTGTGCAACTACAAGCGAACAGACAGTGTTCACAACTTAACAGGTATGACTGACACCGATTCACAAAATTATTTTTGATGCACAATGAGGCGTCCTCGTATGATGTTGATATATATATATATATATATATATATGTTTATATATATATATATGTATATATATAAAAATATATAAATGTATGTATTTATGTATGTACATTGGTGAAAACTTTCATAAAAATAGATACAGATATGTAAACTTACGTTAATGGCCAGTTCCAATAAGTTTCCTTCGCCAGTTTTAGCAGACTCAGTCAGTGCCTCCAAACACTTATTGGCTTCCATGGAGTTCCTTTCTTTGCGGATGCGGTTGATTTTCGCGATCTGCTGATTTCTCACGGATGTGTTGTCAATTTGAAGCACATCAAATGGATCTTGCTGTGTTCCGGTAAGTAAGAGCAAGTCGATTAGCTTACAATCTTGAAATGATACTTCTCAAATCCCAGTTTCCGCCCACATATCGACAGTCAATGAGAACAATAGAAGAACCGCGATATAGATTAAATTTATCCCACATAATACAATCGGACAGAGCTCTGTAAAAATTCAACTGCATGTATCAGCAAGTCGTACACACATAAAACATATATATATAAATACGATACATTCATGCATATATTATATACAACATACAAAATATACATGCACTTGAACCACGTTGTATCTGTCAACGCATATTACGACTCTTAGCCAGTAACAATGCGTGCCTACCGATTTGGGGGTCACTTGTGTGCGTAGTTTGGGCGATATGTATGCCACAGTTTTAGTCATATTTGTAATACCATTGACAAGGCCTATATACATACAACTTATAAAGAAAACTTATAATATATATATATATATGTGTGTGTGTGGGTATATATATATATGTATAAATGTATATATATATATATATAAACTAAACACACATGCATAGCAGAAATACATACATACATACGTACCTTGGCCATCTTGTACTTATTAACGCCGACAATAACCTCTCTGCCAGTGTCAATGCGTGCCTGTCGTTTGGCCGCACACTCTTCAATACGCAACTTAGGCATACCGGATGCCACAGCCTTGGCCATACCTCCCAAATCGTCAATCTCTTTGATGATTGATAGAGACTCTGTGTAAATCTGTGGAGCGAATGCAATACAATTGTCGTTTGTTTAGTGTGAAAGTACTACATAACAATAGAGGGTTCTTGCAAATCTTTGGTGAAAAACCTTGATGATTATGCACTTTCGCATGACAAGGCGTGGGTTTGTGTATAGAGTAGCAGCCACTAGATTCGTATCGGTTACGCAAGTGTCGCATGTCGAATATCGTCACCAATGGAAACCCCCACGTACACCACGCGTTTATTATACTGGCCTTGAGCTGAACTTATGCTGTCGTAGCCGCGACCAACCCACAATTGGAGTAAAATCGACACAAAGCACACTAACAAACGCGTCTTTGTCCGGGAGTGCCTAGTTCGACGTCTTGTCTTCCATGACTTAATTCTCGCCGCTATCACAATATTGCCTATATAACGTCCTAACAGGTACAGTACTGCCATATAGAGTTCTCAACAATTCGCTAGCCCATACTCGAGTTTTGAAAGTGCTAAACCACTTCAATTCAAACTACAGCTGACAATGAATAATCACCAAATATACATACTAGCCATCATATAGTTGCACAAACCGAGCCCTATTCTTCAAGGGAAATACATTCCACTACCAAACACCTGACTTGTGTCAAATTTTCCACACGCAAAAGGGTCCGATGCGTATACAAGCAATTCAGACAGATGAATCCCACTTCAAGATATATGTAGTAATCATACACCAAGCACGCACCTCATCTGTCAATTTCTCCATGAAGTACGATCCACCCCAGGGGTCGATGACATTGGGGATGTGCGATTCCTCCTGCAGGATCAGCTGTGTGTTACGCGCAATTCTGGCACTGAACTCTGTTGGGAGACCCAAAGCCTCGTCCAGTGAGTTAGTATGCAGAGACTGGGTACCGCCAAACACAGACGCCATCGCCTCGATAGTTGTACGCACGACATTGTTGTACGGATCTTGCTCAGTCAGTGACCAACCACTTGTTTGACTGTGAGTTCGCAGCATCAGCGATTTAGGGTTCTTTGGTTTGAAGCGATCCTGCACCAACTCGGCCCATAGTTTGCGGGCGGCTCTCATCTTGGCGATTTCCTGTGTGTGTACCAATATGCAAATGGAAGTGTATATCGATGCGGGTTCGTGACATATACTGATGTGATTGCGTGCCGGTTGAAGTAAGTGTGTATATATTGAGAATATAGAGAGTGGTTATGTGAACTGATGCGTGTGTGAATTCATGCAAGTGTGTGAAAGCATGAACGTGCTGAATTTTAATAGCCATCAATCATCTCTAATTAATGATAAAACGCGCGACTAGCCGTTGTCTAAAGAATACGGATCAACTCTTGATATAAGGAGTTATTTGAAGGTGTTATCTCGTCATCAATGAGTGCACGCATACATTACCTACATTTGCGAAAGCCACGTAGGTGCAGTTCAGAGTAAAGCAGTGTAAGGTATACCACGAAACACAGGGCTGTACATAGCAATGTGTGCTATGACGATTCTCTTTTTCCAAATACCAGCAATATTTATGTAGAGCTGGGCGCGGACTACGAGTTACGTATACTGCTCATGGCTGGTTTTGATGTAGTACTTGGAATATTTGAATACTAGATTCTAAGCATACCATATAGAAGCTCATTCCGATGCACCAGAAGAAAGATAAACGAGGCGCAAACTTATCAATATCCAAACCCGCGTCGATTCCGGTCTGACAGTATTGCAAACTGGATGAAATTGGAACAAGCTCAGTTTGATTAGATGGCGTTTCGATTTCCCACCAAAAAGCGCATGCGGAGCAAGTACAAGTATCAACACATGGGGAACAACAATGTATCTGAAAGCAATATACACATGCGCGGTGTACATATACGTCACCTACGGTGAAAGCGCGCTCTCGTGCTGAGTGCATACCTGAATCTTGTATATGTACACAAGACATTAAGGGGACGAACGAAAGAAACTCGAGTAGTTGTAATCCCTGGTACTCGACTCCCTCGTCGCTAACACCCATACCAAATTGACAAACTACAATTGACACATAGGCCCCAAATAAATCCAGTGTATCCTTTCCAACATGGATTAAGGTATGATATTGACGTTCAGCACTATAAAACAACAGCTATAACAGAGACGCGTGCCTGGGCTAGCAGCACATAACAAAACTGTGCGGGGTGTACTCACCCATCAGCAATGGTAAAGGCGCACTCTAGAGCTGAGTGGGCCCCAGCCTCTTGCAAGTGATAGCCCGAGATGGAGATGGAGTTCCACTTCGGCATGTGGGTAGCGGTGTACCCGAAGATATCGGCAATAATCTTCATCGACGGCTCGGGTGGGTAAATGTATGTGTTTCGCACCATGAACTCCTATATGTGCAGGTAATTGCGGGAGACGATGAGCAATAGTACCATAAAGTCAAGAATATGCACTTAAATGTGAACGAAGTCTTCTGGTAGTGAATAATTTTTTTCTTGCATACTTTCAGTCAATTCGTTCTATTTGCTACCCTGCCGTTCACCGGCGACGACGTCACAGTGAATACCTATGACAACTTACGCTTAGTAACGAGTATTCGCATCCACGCACATGAATATGCACATTTTAAAATGATATATATATGTATACATATATACTCATATATATATATGTACAAATGTATATATATGTATGTATGTATGTATGTATATATTTATGTATGTATGTATGTATGTATGTATGTATGTATAAATATATATATATATATATGTATGTACATATGTATGTATGTATGTATGTATATGTATATATATATATATATATGTGTGTATATATATACATATATATATATATATGTATGTATATATCTTTTTCATCCAAACAGACATATACATAGATGTATATAGCGAAATGTGTCCATATATGAATAGAGCATGCACACAAATAGAGCTTGTAGAACCGTTCCTGACCTTCAGGATGTCGTTCTGTATAGTTCCAGCCAATTGGCTCTGCTTGGCACCCTGCTCCTCGCCGGCGACGATATACATAGCCAGCACAGGCAGCACTGCACCGTTCATTGTCATGGACGTCGACATCTTGTCAAGAGGTATGTCTTTGAAGAGAACCTGCAATGATTTATAATCATAGAGTAATTGAAATTCCCATAAATAAGGATCTAAGATCTAGTAATGTCATGTTATGCACCGCTTCGGTGTGTAGAGGTCAGACTGAAGAAAGTACATCCAGTGAAGATTGTCAGTGTTCAATTTGGTGCACAAGATAGAACAAACAATTCACCTAAACAAGCACCCTTGACGCTATAAAAAATGGGGCAGCAAGCGGAAATCGCACTTCACATACACACATATATACAGGCATTTGTATATTATGCACATATACAAACACGACATTGGCAAAGGTATAATCATTCGGATATACACTTACAAATACATTTAAAAATACATCTACATTAAAATTTTCATTTACGCCCACACACACATATATATATATATATATATGTGTGTGTGTGTGTACAATAAATAATATATATATAATATATATATATATATATATATATTATATATATATATATATAATAATATATATATATATATATATATATATATATATATATATATATTCATGGTCTTTAAGCTATCTGTATCAACACCATCCATATCACGTTTCCCGTCACTTGCTTCTTCTCTGTAACTATATATACGTCGTGCGGCTAAGAACTTGCACCCACCTATACATACATGCATATATACGCACAATTGAATATATACGCACATTGATAAACATGCACACACTTGGTATACGTATTTAAATGCAGATATATATAAATACCTTCATGTCCTCGACGCTATCGATGGCAACACCAGCCATACCCACATCACCCACCACTCGCTCGTTATCTGAATCGTATCCTCTGTGTGTGGCCAGATCGAATGCGACACTCAGACCTTGCTGGCCAGCAGCGATGTTCTTTTTGTAGAAGGCATTACTCTCTTCCACAGTACTGTAACAAAAAAATCCAAGGAGAAAGCCGACAAGCTTGCTGAGTGCACGTAAACGACACAGAGTAGACGTGCCCAAGTTTGCAAAGTTGTGCACCGCAATGTACACCATGTGATAAGTGATACAATCCGGTACGTATGAGTATGATCTCAAAAAATATGCAGGTATGTGCGTTAACATGCAGATACTCAAATTGAAGAATCCGGCTGGGCAGATCAATATAAATTCTAAACATCGCAATGATTTGTGTTTACAAATTTTTACATATTGGTAAACATACAATACGCATTTAGATCTAATTATGTGCATTTACCTATGTAACAAGTTTCAACTACATTGTATAACTTGTTTACCTGAACCCAGCGTACTGTCGAATCGTCCATGGTTTACGGGCGTACATCGTCGCGTAAGGTCCTCGTGTGTACGGGAATACTCCCGGATGTTGTGCGATATCCAAGTCTTCTATATCGGCGGCTGTGTACAGAGGTTTAACATCGATACCCTCCTGTAAGACCAGCACCATTAAAGAGAAAGCACAAATGGGGCAAATACAATGCGTGTGAGATATACATTTTATACATACAGTTATAATTTCCTATGGGCATTCTCATATTCGGTTAATTGGAGATTGGATTTCTTGGTGAGATCTTGTGACAGTGTGTCCGGCATGTTAGGCATCACTTTGAACTTCAACTTATATTCTGCCAATAAGACGGTCTCAATAGGAGCGTTAATATAAACCAGCCAAATGTCTACTTATGTCATTTCACTGCCTTTAAAAGTATCGCTAGCTCTATATGGGGAGACAACTCATACAATTGCATCACCATATGGAAGATTCTCGTTGCTGTTATATACCTGCCGTAGTGTTCATTATCCTATGCAACGCTCACAGGACGAGTATTGCTTGACACCTTATGCCGCACCGTTGTGCACAATAAAGCGAAATAAGTGTTTCTGCGACATACACCTCAATACACCTCCGCTATTCATACGCACCTCAGCGCTGTGCCGCAACGCCGAGAAAGCGGAAATGTTGTGCAATATGAATATGCGGCACTAAGTGTAATAAGATTTATGGTGCTCCCAAGCAAGCAGATTCCATTGCGAGCATATCGAACTTGGCGACACTGCCAATGTACAAATATAACACTTTATATATATGAATGTGTGTATGTTTGTAATCTTATCAGAATGACTATTGCACTGTATATAAATACTGCACTCTAGAACGAGCGCAGGCATGGAGCGGCTGGCTCTAGGACTTTTTCTGAGTACAAGCATACTAAGCCTATGGAGATACCCCACTGGTATTGATATGTGTTCATATATAATTTGTGCATTAGTGTACCTTTATGCGTGTGCGTGTGTACACGCAAGTGTGTATGATTTTGATTATGTGTACACGTGTGTATTTCTGTTTAGATATACGTACATGTGTGTGCGTCAGTAGTTATGCGTGTTCGAGCACACACTGAGCAATTATGCATGTGCGTACAAACAATGTGTGTACATTTATTATGTATATTGTGTCCGTGTCTGTTTGCGTGTATATTTCTTTATAGAAAAGTCCGAACGGTTGCAGCAAGCCTGTACATCGAGGCCAACTGAATTGCACAGTGTTCCGCCGAGAAGACGCCACACTTTGCTCGAGTCCTGCCTATTTGAACACGTACCGAAAATAGACCGCTATCCTAATAGGAATTACTCAAAGTATATGTATGTAGTGCAAACAGTAGCACAGCCAATACATACAAGCACTCAATTCCGACTGAACACATACATGAAAGCATGCTATATATACAAACATGAGCTTCAAATATACATGCAGGCTTTAAGGCATGCACAGACCTGAGATTTCCACAGCAGTGCTTCGTTGGGTTTCTGTCCCTTGAGCTCCTTCTCAGCTCTTGTGGTCCAGGCTTGCTCACCCTCTTTAGCTGCTTTGATAGTTTTAGTGGACATAACTCTAACGCTGGACAGCCTGAGCGACCGAGAAGACACGGCACGTGTAGCGTTCAACATGATGTAGACGTAGTAGATGTACGAATACTACCACAATGAGGAAAAGATAACTAAGAGTGGAGGTAACCGTTGACGTATGTGATACGCTAGTATTTTCTCCTGCTTTAAGAGACTAGCTGAGACAGCTATGTTGCCGCAAGTGTCCAGGTTGTTGTGAAGCCCGTACAAAGTAGAGTATCCCCGCACTGGACATAGCAGTGCATTTTTAATAAACAAACAACGCAAAGACTTTTGTGCAATTGCCGAAACGGCGGCACTCGTTCAGAACTTGCACGAAAGTCTTCGGCACCCACTGCCGCACAGTCCCGCAGGCCCACACTCACAGCCAACCAAATGTTACTTTACGCGTTGCAAGTTGAAACTGCGTCGTTGGCCAAATCAGAAAAATCCGTCGGGCTGACTCTTTGTGACTTTGTGTCGGTCTATGTCATATAGAGAGTAATAGCATAGTAGGAGTATAGACTATTATAGAGATGATATATTTTTCAGAAGCGATATCCATTAGTGCACAGGCCGACAACCTCGCTGTGCATTGGGAGATTGACTATCCTTTCACCAAACTACATATTCAATTGGCCATGAGAGAGAGCTATAGCTTAATTTTATCCATGTAAATTGTATTTAATAAAATCAAATACGCTCATTTTGCGGTAGTTATTAATAACAATCAGTCAGTTATAAATTGATCATTCTTTGTTGACTGGCTGTTTTTTTTATTTAAACAAATTACAACACCTGTCGGCTCACTCGGCTCATTGGCTGTCGTCTGTCGTCTGTCGACTAAAAGTCGAAACAACGGTCTGAAATCTCAAATCTGAGAGGCCCGCGCACTTCTTGAAAGGCCATGACTTTGAAGTCTGCAGGGGTCTGGAGTCTGGAGTCTGGATTCTGGCTGGCCGGTATTTATTTTTGGGTTCAACAACACAAGAGTTTGGGCCTTTGGGCTTTGGCTCTATATATGAATATGGGCCTTTGGTTGTTGCAACTGTGGCCGTGGGCAGTGGGCTTCAGGGCCTGTGCCCCTGTGCCCTGTGGCCTGTGGCCTGGGACTCAAGACTCTGTGATAACCTAACATTGAAACTATGTATTTTTACCACACAAACAAACGATTTTTCCCCGCAGGGGTATAAGTGCCGTGGTGGGTGGATAGGGTTTAATATTCTTGTATGTATTTATTATATTACCACGATTATAGAGTCCTTCTGGCGAAGAAAGCTCTTGACTACTTCCCGCGATACCTGATACCATACGCCAGAGTTATGCTTGGTATGGGTTGTAGACAGCTCAATTGCATAAAATTATTCAGGGTTATTCCCGGTTTCCTGAGGTACACGGCCATGAATCACAAGTGCTACCATATTTTTCGCGATTATTCTAGGGTCTAGATCGAACTGTACCATCATACCGGTTTCACTCTCAAAAAACTGTATTCAATATGTATATATATATATATATATATAGATATATAGATATATAGATATATAGATATATAGATATATATATATATAGATATATAGATATATAGATAGATAGATAGATAGATAGATAGATAGATAGATATAGATATAGATATAGATATAGATATAGATATAGATATAGATATAGATATAGATATAGATATAGATATAGATATAGATATAGATATAGATATAGATATAGATATAGATATATATATATATATAGAGATATATATATAGATATATATATATATATATATATATATATATATA